TATTAATATTTGGCATTTTGGGAAGGAAAGGAATAGAGAGCATTTTGTGCTAGATTGCTCCGACTCTTCGTTTTTCTTGAAGTATTTGTGTTCAATATCTTTGTTTGATGTGGATACGAGTATGAGGATGTGATATGTTTAGTCTTTTAAAAACCTTAAATTTAAGAATTAAATGTAATGCTTATGTTTAGTTGTTTACTTTCTTTTATAATATTAGCAATTAACGCTTGAAATTGATATTCCAGAAATACGAAATGGATAAGAGTTGGATGGATTTGTCAAGGGTAAGAGACGAATATCGAAATGGAGTCGAAACTTTTCTAAATTTAGCTTTTGTGAATGCAAGCAAAGAGAATATGATTCTTTGCCCTTGTAAGAAGTGTGCTAACATTAATTGGCACATTCGTGAAATTGTCTACGAGCATCTAGTTGTTTTTGGCTTTGTTCGGGCTATAGAAAATGGATATTTCATGGAGAGTTTACATCTCATAGATTTTCTTCCGTGAGTTATTCGACTTATCCTTCTAATTCTCACCATCGATCTGTTAGAGAAGATGACATGGAAGGTATGTTGCGAGATGCATTTTATATGCATAGTAATCATCAATATGTTAGAGAAAATGATTGTGACAATGATGTTAATGATTTCACTAAGATGGGAAGACGTGGATGTGTTGAAGAGCCAAAGAATAGACAAAGTTTTATAAGTTGCTTAATGAAATGAATGAACAATTGTACGAGGGATAAAAATATTCAAAGCTCTCTTTCTGCATTCGTCTTTTCCACTTAAAATGCTTGGGAGGGTGGATTGGTAATTCTTTTACGCAGTTATTAGAGTTTCTAGGAGAAATGTTTCCTTTTGCAAAGATATGAAGAAAATGATAAAAGATTTAGGTCTTGGGTATGAGAAAATTCATAGTTGTCCGAGTGATTGTATGTTGAATTGGGGTGATCAAAAAAATTAGGAGTCTTGTCATGTATGCAGAAAATCTCGATGGATGACTAAGGACGCATAAAATGTGAGTGAGGATTTGAAGCACGATCAAGAAAAATTCAGTAAAGATTCTGCGATATTTTCCTCTAATACCTAGGCATCAAAGACTTTTTATGTCCTTAAAGACTGCTGAGTCTATGAGGTGGCATCATGATGGAAGAACCAATGACGAATTATTACGACATCTTGCGGACGTACAACATTGAAGGAATTATACCTACTTCCTCCTGGGCACCTTGTGAAAGTTTCAAGAAACGATGTCGGTCAACTTATTGGTCCAGAAACACGTCTTCTATCCGGTTACTCAGGCATGGTTGCACGTAATGCTAATATTTTACCGATCAATTATGAGTCATGGCGTGAAATGCCAAATAGTAACAAAAATCAAACTTTGGGTTTTGTTAAGGTAATAATGTCATTATAATAGATAATCCATAACAGTTCAATAGTAATTTATACTTACTTTGAACACTTATGTTATTTGTATGAGAATTTTTCTTTAGAGGTCTCAGACGATTATTTGAAGCAAGCGTTAGGGAAGAGATGAAGAGACCACAAGAGTTCATTAAAAAATTACTTCAAGAATGATCTCAGCCTTGAAGAGAATATGCAAACTGTCCCATCTGGAATGCTCAGGTATCAATGGGAAGATGCAGTCAAGTTTTGGAGTTCAAAGAAATGACATGTATGATGTACTTTTCAAAAATAATATAATGTCATAATAATATTGGATTTATAAGTACATATTTAAAATTGTAGGACCAAGAGCATGTTGGTGTTGCTAGCAAACAACAACAAAAGTTTACTCACACAGTTAAATCAAAGAGCTTTTCTTGTATAGATAATGATGTGATATTATTGATTATTCGCATAGTGATTTACAGTTGGTAGCACATACTAACGAAAATTAGTTATATTATTAATTAATTTTTTGCAAGACTTAATTTTTATTCTACATTGTATGAAAATACGTCTGGTTGTAAAGTTGGACGAATAAAACTCTTCGACATGAAACGTACAAAAAAGTATGGCACTCCTATGACTGATAAAGCTATAGAAATTATGGTACATTTATTAGACACAAGATTTGAATTATGTTATATTTATATCTATAGTATGACATTTTTATTTAAAATAATTATTGAATTGATTATTAGGAAAAATTGAGGCATAAAAGGGCGGAGTATGAAGCTACGACTTCAAGTCATGGCATTGTTAATGCAGATGACATTGAAAATCAAGTTATTAATGAAGTCTCGGGTCCTGAAAGATATGCTCGGGTTCTCTGTCAAGGATCATTCGTTACTCCCACCAAATATTTTGGATCTAGTTCATCTCAGTACATGTCATCACAGAGTCAGTCTTCCCAATTAGAAGTTAGTTGTTTAAAACAATAGTTGGCTGAAATGGATCAAAAAATTGCTCAAATGAAAGTCGAAAATGAAGCGAGGGAAGCAGAGAGAGAAGCAACATACCAACAAAAATGTCAAGACTTTGAAAACCGACTTGAAGCTATGGTGCATCTGATACGACAAAATCAACATCACAATCTACCATCTTAGGTGTTATTTTAAATATATGCTTTGTTCATTCTAGTTAACAATGTTGAATTGTATTATATTTTACGTTAATGTAAACTTTGATTTATTATTATGGATTTCAAGTTGGTTGTTATGGATTTCAAGTTTGTTGTTATATATGTCATGTTTATTAGATAATGCTACAAATTAAAAATTTAAATTTGGATAACAAAAGAGAAGAAAACACCATCGACAAAATATGTGTTAATTAGTGGTGTTTGTATTAAAAAACGCCACTAAGGGGGTGTTTGGATGGGGGAACGTGGGATTCTCATGGGAATGGAATCCACATTCCCCCGTTTGGTTAGCCCGGGAATCCTATTCCCGGTAATGTAAGATTATCAATAGTGGATTTTTTTGGGTATATTACCGGGAATGTCATTACCTCCCTTTCCTTAGGTATTGTTAGATTACCGACGTTTTGGACTAAAATGCCCTTAATTTTTTATTTTTTTTCAAAAATATATTTCTTATGTCATTGAATAATAAAAATTCTACGAATGTTAAATTACAAATTTATCCTTAAATTATTTTAGATTTACAAAAAAAAATCTATAATTAAAATTTTATATGAAGTTCAAGGGTTAAAATAAAATTTTACCCTTTCATTAAACTTTTTTTATTTTTAATTTTGTAAAAAATATATAAATATTATGAATTTAAATTTTTTAAAGAAAAATATATAAATATTTTCCAACTTGTAATATTATACAAATATATAATAAGGACAATTTGGTCAAATATACATTCAAATAATCTTTTATTCCTTTAACCAAACACGGTAATCTTACATTCCTGCTAAGCCAACCAAACACAAAATATAACATTCTCAGTAATCTTACATTCTCACTGGTAATCTTACATTCTCACTGGTAATCTTACATTCTCACTGGTAATCTTACATTCCGTGAACTAAACGCACCCTAAATACATACTCAATATCGACGCTTTAGAAAAAAAACGCCACTAAAGTTCTAGATCTTTTCCGGCGTTTATACAAAAAAGCCACTATAGCCATAGTCAATAGCGGCGTTTTACATTTACAAACGTCGCTATATGTCATGACCTTTAACGGTATTTTTAGAAACAAACGACACTATATGTCAGAACATTTAATGACGTTTTTCTACAAATACCACAAAAGAAAATATATATAGCGGTGTTTTTATAACGCCACTAAATATCATAACCTTTAGTGTCGTTTGTGGACGACAAACACCGTTACCTTTTGTGGTGTTGGTTTTAGCGACGCTTTTGACGGTATTTTTTTGCCACAAGGGTTTTTTAGCGGTGTTTTTATATGACTGAAAAACATCGCTAAAAATATATTTTTTTATTGTAGTGACACAAACTATTTAACTCGATTTCACATATTAAACATGTCAATTAATATATTTTCGCACCATAAATTCTCAACAAAAATAAATCTTCAAATGTTGATCTAGCCCACAAAAACGTCCACATAACCCATCGATATTAATACGATATCGCTAATGTTTTTTTTTTATAATTTCTTCGATGAACATTTTAAAATAATATAAAAAATATAAGATTGATTAAATTTTCATTATAAATTTTCCGATGGACAGTTTAAAATAATATAGAAAAATATAAGTTCAATTAAATTTTTTATTTCCTCTCTTGTTCTCTATTTATTTGTTTTTTGCACAATGCAATTACAATTTCAAATCACATTAAAGAACCTACAGCTATCACAGGTCTGTGAACCAAGAGAATGGACGAGACAATATCAAAAACCAGGGATATACTGACGGAGCGGGTGAAAGTAATTATTTTTCTAAAAAATTAAATTAATCATATATTTTAAAATTATTTTTTATATTTTTTATTAAAAAATTTATTTTAGCTCTTAAAATTTTAATTCATCCTCTTAAAATTTTAATTCATTCACCTTGAATTTAAATTTGTTTTAATATAAAATTATGTGTCGGTAGCTGCCAAAAACAAAGGTACGATTGTGATGTATCAAATTTTAATAGATATAGGTATGTATTCACCTTGCCTGTCCTAGAGATATAGGGCGCAGCTTATATTGTTTCTAAGCCACAAAGTACAATAAGGCCAAGGGATAAGGTTTTTCGACACAGCACAGCAATGATATCATCCTTCGCGCAGTTTGCCGACACTTGCTTCATAATTTTGTTTCTTTTTTAATGATCGTGAAACAATCGCATGTCCACCATGTAGATCAGACCACAACCTGTGTGGACAATCTTAATTTTATGGGTCCCCCTCTTGACCCGGCGTATTAATTACTACAATATATCACCTCTCGCCATTGGCCCGGATCAATAAATTGGCTTTAATGTAATACTATATTATGAACCACCTAAGCAAAGCAATGACATCATACTTCACATAGTTCGCCGACACTATGCTATATTAGTAACCTCAAATGAACATCGGTCAAACCCTGAACCAACACTACCATCGGTCTATCTCACTGTTGGTATTGCTTTGTTTGTTCCACATATAACCCTTCTTTTCCGTTTCAAGGATGAAGAAAGCGGAGCTAGTATTCATCCCATTGCCTGCCATGGGGCATTTGGTACCCGCAGTTCAAGTGGCTAACCTTTTAGTACACCTCAATTCCAACCTCTCCATCACCATCCTCACCGTCAAGCCATCAGACAACGCTAAAATCAGCGCCTACATTGACTCTCTCACGGCCGACACCTCCACTAGCCATATTAGGTTCATCAGCCTCCCTCAATCTGACCCAGACGTAGATTTTTTTAAGTTTTTGAGTAATTTAGCTCAAACCGTAGGACCGCTTGTGAGAGAAGTCGTCGCCAACATAGTTGAGCACTCCAACTCAGTTCCCGGCTCACCTCGACTCGCCGGGTTCGTTCTCGACACGTTTTTCACTTATTTGGTAGACTTGGCCAACGAGTTCGGCGTTCCTAGCTATGCATTTTACGTTGGGGGTGCTGGTTCTCTTGGCTTCCACTTCTACACTCAGGCACTTCACGATGAGCAAAAGATTGAGTTCAACGAGTTAACAGACTCCGACACTGAGTTCACAATTCCATCGTATGTCAACCCGATTTCCATTAAAGTATTTCCAACTGTTCTGTTCCAGCCTGAAAATTTTACAATGCTTCGTAACATGATAAAATGGATGAGAGAAGTGAAGGGTATATTGATCAATACTTTTTCGGAGCTTGAATCCCATGCCGTTGACTCCCTTTCAAACGGTAAGCTTCAAGTTCTTCCCATTTATCACGTGGGACCCATATTAAACCTAGAAGGCTCAGGCAATGTCAATCATAATTATGATACAATCATGCAATGGCTTGATGAACAACCTCCTTCGTCTGTAGTGTTCGTTTGCTTCGGGAGCATGGTAAGCTTTGGTATGGATCAAGTGAAAGAAATTGCCTACGCACTGGAGCAGAGCGGGCACCGATTCTTGTGGTCTCTACGAAAACCTGGGGAACTAATAAATGGCATGATGTATGGCGTAACTGATTATGAGAACGTGGCAGCGGTGTTACCAGAAGGGTTCTTAGACCGGACTGCTGAAATTGGTAAGGTCATTGGTTGGGCACCGCAAGTGGCCATCTTGGGCCACCCTGCAATCGGAGGGTTCGTATCGCACTGCGGTTGGAATTCAACGTTAGAAAGTATATGGTTCGGAGTGCCAATGGTGGCATGGCCACTTTATGCAGAACAACAACTGAATGCATTCACATTGGTGAAGGAGTTAGGATTAGCAGTGGAGCTTAAAATGGATTATAAGATCGATGACAGTAAGGTTCAAATTATAAAAGCTAAGAATATAGAAAAAGGAATTAATTGGTTGATGGAGCATGATAGTGATGTTCGTCAGAGGATGAAGGAAATGAGTGGTAAGAGTAGAAAGGCTTTGATGAATGGGGGATCTTCACACATTATGTTATGTCGTTTCATTAATATATCATGATCAATATGCCATGAAAGCTTGTAAAGGTTAAAATTCAGTCATGCGTGGAGGAGACCACTGCCTACTTGCTGCCTCCACCTGGTTCTTTGAATTGCAACATTTATCTACGCAAATCCTCCATATGTTCTAGGCAAAGTTAAATTTTCATATGTTGATCTAGCCCTCATCTTTAAAAGAAATAAAATAGTATCCAATTTGGTATATATGGCGATGTTTGTTTGTTGGATTAAAATTTATAAGTGTGCGCATCTTTGTATAATATATTGATTATCATAAAGTATAACGTAAAATTAAGTGACTAAGTATGTTATTATTGTGGAATTCGGGTTAATTTTCATCAATAATAATAAATTCATCTTGAAAACTATTATCTAGATGACTAGTGTAAAAACGATTGTATTAAAAATCACCCAAAGGTAGATTCTTAGAAAAGTGTGTAAGGGTTACAATGGTCCCTCTTAAAAGTCATTCTTTTTAGACAGAATTGTCAAGACAAATAATTTTAATATGATAATAATTAACAACTATACCCGACAATAACTATTAAATAGACATAAAAGAGAACACCAAAATTTAACGAAGTTAGGTCAAAATTATGCCTAAGTCCTCGATCACTACTAAAATAATATTTCACTAATAGAGGAAATATTACAAAGAGAGAGAAAGAGTACAAATAGTCTTTAATATAGAATAAGGCTTATATTTGTGAGATACTAAACTAAGGAGGATGAGAGCTCTATTTATAACAAAAGAATTTCCTCCTCCTTATACAAAATCAATGTGTGATTCAAAATTTAACAAAAAAACAAATCTCCACCTTGGCAAATTCCACACACATTTCTCAAAAATCCAATCTTCAGTAGTGTCTGCAAATTCATCTTTTAATTTATAACAATATTGACCAACTCTAAACAATGTTTAAACTTGACCGCAGTTATCACTTTTGTCAACATATTAGCAGGATTCTCAGTGGTCCGAATCTGCTGGATTATGACTCCACATTCTTCTAGAATCTTGTACAAAGTGATATCGAACATCGATGTGCTTCGTCATTGCATGGTAAACCTGGTTCTTTGCTAAATGAATAACACTCTGACTGTCGCAGTGCACTTTGATGTGCTTCTGTTCCATTCCCAATTTATCAAGCAACCCTTGAAGCCAAATTGCCTCCTTCACAACCTCTGTAACTGTCATATACTCTGTCTCTATAGTAGACAAAGTCACTGTTGACTATAAGATGGACTTCCAACTGACTGGTGCTTTTGCAAATGTAAACATATAACCAGTAGTTGATCGACGCTTGTCCAAATCACCTGCATAGTCTGAATCATAATACCTAACTACACACTGACCATCTTGTTTGTCCTGCTGAAAGACCAAACCAACATCTACGGTGTTCAGAATATACCGCAGAATTCATTTCACATATTGCCAATGCTTCTTTCTATAATCATGAATATACCTGCTCACAACCCTAACTACCTGTGAAATATCGGGTCTCGTAAACACCATTGCATACATCAAGCTACCAACAGCACTTGCATACGGAACCTTTGACATGTATTCCCGTTCTGCATCATCCTTAGGTGACATGGATGCACCGAGCTTGAAATGAGGAGCAAGAGGTGTACTAACTGGTTTTGACTTCTCATTCATTCCAAAACGTTTTAGTATCTTCCTCTGATATTCTTTCTGAGACAAACAAAGCCTCCCCAATTTCTTATCCCTTGATATCTCCATTCTTAGAATCTTCTTCGCTTCACCAAGATCCTTCATCTCAAACTCCCTGTTCAATTGAGTCTTTAGTTTCGTAATTTATGTTTTTCTCCTGGAAGCTATCAGCATATCATCAACATAAAGAATAAGATATATATAGAATCTGTCTTGTAGCTTGCGTAAATACACACAATGATCATATTTGCTTCTTGTGTACTTCTACCCTATCATAAACTTGTCAAACAGCTTATACCATTGCCTTGGAGATTGCTTCAATCCGTACATCGATTTTTCTAATTCGCACACCATCTCTTCTTTTTCAGCAACTTTGAATCCATCTGGTTGAGTTATGTAGATTTCCTCATCCAAGTCTCTATGTAAAAATGCAGTTTTTACATCAATCTGAACTAATTCCAAATTCAACTGCGCTACCAAAGCCAACAAAATTATGATAGAGGAATGTTTTACAACTGGAGAAAATACTTCATTATAATCAACTCCCTCCGTTTGAGCGTAGCCTTTAGCCACCAATCTTACTTTGTAGCGGATGTTATTCTTGTCAGGAAATCCATCTTTCTTTGCATATACCCACTTGCACCCAATTGTCTTCTTTCCCTTCAGAAGACTAGCTAGTTTCCACGTCTGATTCTTTTGAAGGGGTTGCATTTCTTCATTCATGGTGATCCTCCACTTTTTATGTTCTGAACTTTGGACTGCTTCATTAAAAGTGGTAGGAACGTCATCAATTGCAATTGGTGATGCAAAAGAGACCATATCAGCATAACGAGCAGGTTGTCTAATGGTCATCTTTCCCTTTCTGAGTGCAATTGATTCATGTTACTGTGGAGGTTCGGAGGTTCTTGAGTCTGAACTTCTTCTTCATCCGACTCTTCTTCTACCATAGGAGAGTCAACATCAGTTTCTTTACTGGCTGGGACAATTTTGCTTCCTTCAAACTCCACCTGTTTGGGAGTTCCATCTGTCTGCTCCAATTTTTATGAAGTCACCTTTCTCAACATGGTAGATTCATCAAAGGTAACATCCCTGTTGAAGATTATTTTCTCTATTTCTGGACACCAAAGACGATAGCCTTTCACACCAGAGGTGATTCCTATAAAGATTGCCTTCTTTGCTCTTGGATCCAACTTTGACTCCTTAACATGGTAGTATGCAGTGGAACCAAACACATGTAAGGAATCATAATCTGTAGCAGGTTCTCCAAACCATTGCTCTAATGGTGTTTTACCACCAATAGCAGTCGATGGTAAGCGGTTGACAATGTGACAAGTATATACCAAAGCCTCGGCCCAAAATTCTTTTCCTAACCCAGCATTAGATAACATACACCGAACCTTCTCCACTAATGTTCGGTTCATACGCTCTGCCACCCCATTCTGTTGTGGTGTATATCTGACAGTGAAGTGCCTGACAATACATTCTTCTTCACAGACTTTCAGAAATGGATCATTTTTGTACTCCCCACCATTGTCTGTACGGAGACGTTTGATTTTTCTGCCTGTTTGAGTCTCCACCATCTTTTTTCATTTAAGGAAAAAACCTAGCACCTCATCCTTTTTCTTCATTGTATACACCCAAACTCTCCGGGAAAAATCATAAACAAATGTGGCATAATAGTGTGTTCCTCCCAATGAAGTTGTCTTGAAAGGCCCCCATACATCTGAATGAACATAATCCAAAATACCTTTAGTATCATGAATTATTGTTCCAAATTTCATCCTTGTCTTCTTCCATTTGATGAAATGCTCACAAAAAACTAATTTGCAAGCCCGAGCACCCTTCAATAATCCTTGATCTATCAGCAATTTCAAGGATTTTTCACCAACATGCCCCAAGCGCATATGCCATAACCTGATTGCTTCTGACTCATGTTCATCAGTAGAAGTTGCCACTGTTGTTGTCCCAACAATTGTACTACACAGAAAGTAATACACATTGTTTCTTTTATGGATTCCCTTCATTATCAACAGTGCACCAGAGATAATCCTCATAATCCCATCTTTTTCCCTCACTTCTAAACCTTTTGACTCTAAGGTTCCCACAGAGATGAGATTTCTCATTAAATCTTGTATATAATGGACACCTGTTAAGGTTCTGATTGATCTATCCTGATTCCTCAAGTGAATTGAACCAATCCCAAGTGTGTCAATAGGGGAATTATTTGATGTGTAACAATTCCACCTTTTAGTTCTTTAAAATCAAAGAACCATTCTCTATTGGGGGTCATATGGTGGCTACAAGCTGAATCTAACAGCCATGAACTGTAACAGTTGGTTGATGTCGTAGCAGCGAATTCGAAATCTGAATCTGCATCATCATACTCGACCACATTTGATTCTGAGACAACCTTTCTCCTTTCAGGTTCGCCTTTATTCTTTAGCCTGGGACATTCTTTCTTCCAGTGCCTTTTTTCTCGACAAAAGGCACATTCATCTTTGCTCAATCTGGACTTTGACTTCGATCTTTCTCTCTTTCCTTTATTCTGACTCTTCTAACGGCCTCTAACAAGAAGAGCTTCTTCTTCGACACTTGTGTTTTCTTGTTTGTCTTTCTTTCTTAATTCATAACTATACAAGGCAGTAGTTACTTCATTGAGAGACACATCAACCTTCCCATGAAGTAGAGTAGTTTCAAGATACTCAAACTCATCAAGAAGTGATCCCATCAACATCAGAGCCAGATCTTCGTCTTCAAAAGTCACGTCCATATTTATCAGATCAGTCACCAGCTGATTAAAGCTAGTAATGTGATCATTCATAGTGGTACATGGTACATAGTTGAAGCGGAACAATCTCTTTTTCATGTAAAGCTTATTCTGACCGCTTTTCTTCAAAAATTTCTCGTCCAGTGCCTTCCACAATTTACTTGCGGAAGTTTCCTTAGAAAATGCATACTTCTGCTCTCTAGAAAGACACGATCGAATAGTACCACATGCCAATCTATTGATCCTCTTCCATTCTTTCTCCTCAATATCATCTGGTTTCTCGCCTTCAATAGCAATGTCTAGACCCTACTTAAATAGGGCATCTATAACCTCACTTTGTCACATACTGAAATGACTGGTGTTATCAAAAATCTCCACTACAAATCTAACATTTGTCATAACATTTCTTGCCAAAATTGAAGATGAAAAAGCTGTTGACGACGATGTGGATGCTTTTGTGTCGTCTACCATTTCTGCTACAAATTCTATTTAATAGCTGTCAATGCGGAATGTCAATTATCCCAAGGAAATTTTTTTCTGATGTGGAAGATCAGCCTAAGCCATAACCACAGAGCATACTAAAATAAACCAAGAGATCTTATTCCAATTGTTGTGGAATTCGGGTTAATTTCCACCAATAATAACAAATTCGCCTTGAAAACTATTATCTAGGTGACTAATGTGAAAACGATTGTACTAAAAATCACCCCAAGGTAGATTCCCAAGAAAGAGTGGAGGGGTCACAA